TACAATTTAAATTTTCTACCAGACACATTTTTGAATAGTGAAAAGAAACAGGTAAAATTAATTTTAATAATATATTTTATTTGACATAGTATATTAAAATATCATTATAACTGTAATCCATAATAAAAATTATTAATGAGATATTTCACTTTTTTCCCCCCACACTGTCTTGAAAATCCATTTAGTATTTTACACTTATTATATATCAATTCAAATGCTAAATTTTTTTGGAAACACTTGACTATATTTAGCTCTCATAAAATTTACAGCTGAAAATGTAGATTTTGATACCCCAGTTGTTCCAAACATACTTAAGTTTTCCAAAAACTGAAACAAGTGTTGGTTTTTAAAGTTGACTTTCAATTAAACTTAAATTAAAAAATCAGTTCCTCGGTTGCACTAGTGACAATTCAAGTGCGTGATAGCCACATATGCCTAATGGCTACTGTAGTAGACAGCATAAGTCAAGGTAGTTGTTACAACACATGCATACCAAAGCTTTGCTCATAGAAGGGCTTTTCTGGCTTTGCGAATCAAATTTGCACTGTGTGGGAATAGAAGCAGAGGAAAATTTCTGAACATCTTAAATTGGCAGGCCAATAGCATATTAAAATGTAGCAAATTAGAGGGATGAGGAAAGAATTGTTATGGTTAGGAAAGTCTTTTCCTTAAGCAGGGAGAAGAAGTAAGTGCTGATAGCAAAGCAAGAAATATTAACACAAAACAAAACTATAAAACATGGATACAGAACCCAGACTGTTCAACACCCTGGGAGTTTATCATAAGGGAAGTAGCATTCCATACCAGGGAGCCCTGAATCATCTTCTGAGTAAAAGCTCTAGTCCAGCAGTCAAAGTCATGATACTAATGATACTCACATATATTTAAGAAGTCATGGGACTGTGTGATATGTTTTGCTACAGATTCCCATTCAAAACCTTTTTGTGTTGAAAGGGCAAAAACTCAACTTTTAAGCAACTGAAACACATAAAGCAGCTCATTTTCAAAGTGCTCTGCTTTACCAGTGTTTTATCGAATATTGTACAATTACCAATGTTTCTATGTGTGTTAAATAACAAGCTATTTGCTACTATATTATGATTTTCCATTGACATGTCTTTGTAATTCTCATTCTCTGTGTTTTTATTTATTTATTTTTTTTTTTTTTTAGCTGAGCCATCCTGCCACCTGTTGGCAGCTCATTGGCAGCTCAGCTCGGGCCGGGCATTGAACCGCTGTTGCTCAGAGCTCAAACTCTTGAGCGAGTGTGTTTTTATATTTTTATGTCTCATTCTTTTGAAAACAAAGACATTAGTTCAATTTAAAGATGCTTTCTCTATATATTTATCTTTTCATTATCCTGTAAAAATGTATCTAACATTTCAGAAAAACTTTTCTTTATAATAACAATACTATTTAATGTTTAAAGATCTATGGCATTTACATTTTGCACATGGCTTATTGAATGGGCTTAAATTCAAATATTAGTTTATAAATTGCTGAAAATACTTAGAAAAATTAGGCAGTAAGTCATCCATGTATCAATACGCTGTCAGGGCTCAAGCCAGGCAGGCACCAGCAAACCTAATATACAACAGCAATACAGTCATGACTAAGGTTTCCTTATTATCTGATAATCTTAAATATTATTAACATATTTGTATCATGAATTTCATTTATTCATAGAATTCCATGACCTACTAATCTTTAAGAATGTAAAATCCTTTTCAAGTATAAGCCCTGCTTAAAAATATATATATATATTTTTTTGTTAGGGTAGATGTCTCTAGTTTTGTCCAGGTTTTTATTTTGGAACATTTCGGACCTACAGAAATGTTGAAATAATAATGCAGTGAGTCCTCACATACCCTTCAGTTAGAGCAGGGGGTGGCAAGCTTTTCCTGTAAAGAGCTAGATAGAAATATTTTAGGGTTTATAGGCTATATGGTCTCT